GCTCACTAGGAAAGGACTCTGTGGCAGTGACAAGAAACTGTCTAGGGCACTGTTGGCTGCTGAAATACTCCATTTTCCAGCCTCCCTCAAGAGGAGGTACATCCACAGTTCTGGCCAATGAAAGTCAGTGTGGTGGAGGGAAAGCTCTCACTTTTCTGGAAAAAAAAAAAAAAAAAGACAATTGCATTGGCAGAGTCCCTTCCTGGTCCTCCTGGTCCTCCTCTGATCATGAGAGAAAGAAAGGAAACTCTAGAGAGATGCAGGCCCTGAACCAAGGCCAGCAGCCACCACCCCCAGACTCGCTATGGGAGAAAAGCAAGCCCTGTTTCTTTAAGCCACTCATGGTGGAGTTCTCTCTTCCTTTCAGCACAGGACATTCCAACTTCGATCACGAGCCATGTGAACATCTGGAGCAGAGAAATCAGGGAGAGTTCAAAGGCACTAAAATGGAAACTACCTTGGCATGTTTGAGGAACAGAAAAAAGATCAGTGTGGCTAGAACATAGTGAAGTGAGAGGGAAAGAGTAGGTAAGTCTGAGAGGTGGATGGGGTCTTGCAAAGCTTTGTAGCCCCTGGAGTGCCATCTGGATTTTAAGCTCATGGGAAACTACTAATGGGTTTTAGGCAGGAGAGGGCATACTCTGATTTCAGTTTCTTAAAAGATCATTCTAGGCCAGGTATGGAGGCTAACACCTATAATCCCAACATTTTGAGAGACTGAGGCAAGAGGATCACTTGAGCCCAGGAGTTTGAGCCAGTCTGGGCAACACGGCAACCTAGGCAACCCATGCCTACAAAAAAAAAAATTTTTTTTTTTTGAGATGGAGTCTTGCTCTGTCACCCAGGCTGGAGTGCAGTGGCGTGATCTCAGCTCATTGCAACCTCTGCCTTCTGAGTTCAAGCAATTCTCCTACCTCAGCCTCCCAAGTAGTAGGGATTACAATTGTGTGCCACCAAACCCAGTTAATTTTTTTTGTATTTTTAGTAGAGATGAGGTTTCACCATGTTGGCCAGGCTGGTCTTGAACTCTTGACCTCAAGTGATCCACTGCCTTGGCTTTCCAGAGTGTTGGGAATACAGGTGTGAGCCACCACACCCAGCCTACAAATTTTTTTTTTTAATTAGTGGTGGCATATACCTGTAGTCCTAGTACTAGGGAGGCTGAAGTAAGAGGACTGTTTGAGCCCAAAAGTTTGAAGTTACAGTGAGCTACACTGTACTCCAACCTGAGTGACAGAACAAGACTGTCTCAAAAATCAATAAAATTAAACTTTAAAACAAGAATTATCCCAGCTGTTACATGGAAGATGGATCAGGGAGTGCAGGTGGGACAGATGCTGATTTGGGTCTCACAGCAGTTTTCCTCCCATTCCTGGTCTCTGTTGAGCTTAGGATAGGCCGCGTGACCCAGGTCTGGCCAGTGAGGGGGAGGTGGGAGACCTTCGGAGAAAGCTTGTCTTTGCTGATTAAAAGGGACAAAGTCAGCTGGTGCAGCTCTCTGCCCTTCTCCCTGCCTGAAATGTAAAGAGGACACCTGAGAGTGCAGGAGGCTTCACAGCCACGAAGGGACAGGCTAAGCTGGTAGAGTGAGGACAGAAAAAACCTGGTCTGGGTACTTGTCAACATCATTGACCCTTTGACTCTTGCCTACTGCTGAACTGTTTAGGTGAGAAAAATGACCCCATATTTGTTTAAGACACTATAAATTTCGTTTTCTGCTACCTACACCTAAATACATTCTCAACTGAAATAGTGGACAGAGAGTCAACAGAGACTAGGGTAAGAAGCAACTGAAATGGTGCAGGTGAGAGACAACGACAGCTTGGACAATTATTAAAAAAAAAAAAAAAAAAGTCTCACTGTTGCCCAGGCTGGCTGGAGTACAGTGGCACGACCTCGGCTCACTGCAGCCTTGACCTCCCAGGCTCAGGCGATCTTCCCATCTCAACTTCCTACGTAGCTGAGAACACAGGTGTGCGCCACTACACCCAGCTAATTTTAGTGGGGTTTTTTGTAGAGACAGGGTTTCATCACGTTGGCCAGTCTTGTCTTGAACTCCTGACCTCACGTCCGCCTCAGTCTCCCAAAGTGCTGGGATTACAGGTGTGAGCCACCATGCCCAAACAGCTTGGACAATTATGATCGTCTCCCTACAGGTCTTCCCATTTCTAGACTTAGTTTCCCCTAATTTGTCTTCCATGCTATTATACTTTCTCAATGCAAATCTCTTTATAAATTCCCCTCGGCTTACAATTCTTTGCTAGCTCTCCATTGCCTACAAGATAAAAACCTAACCTCCTTTGCCTAGTACACAGTACCCTTTGATTTGTCCTACCTTCTTATCTGGCTTTTCCTATCACCACACCTACCCTTGTACTTCATACATCACCCAGGGGGTATGCCACTAGCAAACATCTCCCACGCACCAGGTACTGTCCATTCTTTATCTCTAATCCAAACGACCTGGAGAGGTGGGTATTGTAGGTCTTATAGATGAGAAACCCAGTGCTCAAGGAAGTGAAGTGATCTGGACAAGGCCAGACATCTAGTAAGTGGTGGAACAGGATGTAAACTCTAGTTTGATTTTGAAACAAAAGAGATTCACTATTCTCATTTGCCAAGAAGTCTGAAGGTAGGTGGGTGATTTCTGGGCTGTTTAAGTGCTCAGAGATGTCATCAGGACCCCAGGGTCTCCCCATCTTCCCTTTCTGCTGTTCTAGAGGTCTGGCTTTCACCCTCACACTGGTTACCTCATGGTCTTGAGATGGCTGCTCAGGCTGAGTGCGGTGGCTCACGCCTGTAATCCCAGCACTTTGGGAGGCCAAGGCGGGCGGATCACATGAGGCCAAGAGTTTGAGACCAACCTGACCAACATGGTGAAACTCCGTCTCTACTAAAAATACAAAAATTAGCTGGGCATGGTGGCACATGCCTGTAATCCTACCTGCTCGGGAGGCTGAGGCAGCAGAATCGCTTGAACCTGGGAGGCAGAGGTTGTAGTGAGCCAAGATCGCGCCCCTGCATTCTAGCCTGGGCAACAGGGTAACACTCTGTCTCAAAAAAAAAAAAAAAAAGATGATTGTATAGCTCGAGGCATCACATTCAGGTACAAATCAGAAAGGGGAGGGCTATTCCAACCTAATCTGTGGTCCCTAACTCTGGTTTTTTGTTAAGAAAAGCAAAGGTTTTTGTAGAACCCCCAGCACACTTTTACCTCTAGCCCATGAATAAATGGCTGCCCCAAGCTGCAAGGAAGCCTGGGAAGTCAGGGAATGCCATTGTTATGGCTGGACCAGACCAAATTCCATCCACTACCTGGGGCTGAACCCACTGCGGCCCTCAGCAAACCTGGAGTTCCGTTAGCAAGAAAGAAAAGGATAAGGGCAAGCAGGTGACAAACAGGACGTGCCACCACCATCCTGCTCAGCAGAGTGGAAGTACCAAGGTGCTCTTGACTACTCTCTTCCCAGGTCTGCCTGTCAAACACTTTTTTTTTTTTTTTTTTTTTGAGACTGACTGAGTCTCCTGTGTCACCCAGGCTGGAGTGCAGTGGCACAATCTCGGCTCATTGCAACCTCCACCTCCCGGGTTCAAATGATTCTTCTGCCTCAGCCTCCCGAGTAGCTGGGACTACAAGCGTGCGCTACCTCACCTGGCTAATTTTTGTATTTTTAGTAGAGACAGGGTGTCACCATATTGGCCAGGCTGATCTCAAATTCCTGACCTTGTGATCTGCCTGCTTCGGCCTCCCAAAGTGCTGGGATTACAGGTGTGAGCCACCGCACCATGTCCGGCTGGCAAACCCTTTCTAATCCATCACATGCCAGTTCTCATGGGATTGCCCTCACTCTCCCAGACAAACCTGGTGCTTTTTCTTCTACCTCCCCTTATATTATGTACCTACTTCCATCAGAGGTATGTAATTGCCAATATAGCAATTGATGTAATGCGACTGCTCATTCAATTATGCAGACAAGCATTTTCTCTGCAAATGCTTGCCGAGTGCCTGCTATTTGCCAAAGACTGCTAGGAGTCAGGAATTCAGTAGTGAACAAGTTAGATTTTCTTTTTTTTTTAAGGAGTCTCGCTCTGTCACCCAGGCTAGAGTGCAGTGGCCGGATCTCAGCTCACTGCAAGCTCCGCCTCCCGGGTTCACGCCATTCTCCTGCCTCAGCCTCCCGAGTAGCTGGGACTACAGGCGCCCGCCACCATGCCCGGCTCATTTTTTGTGTTTTTAGTAGAGACGGGGTTTCACTGTGTTAGCCAGGATGGTCTCGATCTCTTGACCTCGTGATCCGCCCATCTCGGCCTCCCAAAGTGCTGGGATTACAGGCTTGAGCCACCGCGCCCGGCCAACAAGTTAGATTTTCAGGTTTGGTCCCTGCCCTTATGGAGCTTTCAGTCTAATAGGTGAGATATTCAGACAGGTAAAGTTACGGGAGAAAAGAAGCCCATCTCCTCAGACTATAAACAGTTCTGTGGCAGGACTATCTTTATGTCTTGCCCCCAGGACATAGCACAGCATCTCACACAAAGTAGATGCCCTATGAACATGTGCTAAATTCATTCTTTACTCAGGAAGGCATTGAAATGTCCCTTAAGTGTAAATATTTTATAAGAAAAGGGTTTCTTATTTCTGCCAGGAAACTCCCCCAAGAATGAACCACTACACTCTCCCAGTATTAAATCATGTGCTACAGCATCTTGGAAAATGCTTTGCTCTCTCCCCACATTGTTCCAGGTCTCTTTCCCCAGGAAAGGTTCTCGCATTGTCTAATACAACACTTCACATCAGAGGTCCTTAGTAGATGTGTGTTTTTTGCTAAAGTGTTCGTTTGGATTTTCTAAAGAAGGATATCTTATTGTCAGTGCCATAACTCCTGAAGTGTGACTCTGAAGGCACTAAAAATAACTCCTCAAGTTCCTATTCCATAGCTTATTATGTATAGTTTTAATAGTTCTTTAAACACGCTGTTTTGTTGCCCTTTCTACTACTGCAGGTGACGGCAGCTAGGAACAAGGCCGACAGAGACAAGGCAGATAAAAATAATACAACCCCTGCTTTGGTCTGGGCTTCTGTTGCTATGGTGATGTTGACACGTAACGCACAGGTGAGAGGTTCTTTCTACAGTGGAGCCAGCGGATCGTGCAGGCCAGAGGGGTAGGACATAACCAGGAAAGACCCCCAAGCTCCTAGGCCTGAAAAGGACTTCCTGAGGCCATCTGGTCCACTCCCATACCTCTTACCTGAAATCAAGTGGATGGGCAGCAAGTTCCCCAGAGTCCTCAAGAACAAAGCCCACAACTCCCAGATCCCTTGGTGGCCACATATTTCACAATATCCATGACCCTGAATGGGTTTTCTGTGGCTAATCTCACGTTATCTTGATGTCCTTCCAGCCCAATTCCTCTTACAATTGCTTCTATGGAAATCAAAGTTAATCATCACCTTACACTCTGTACAGTAACCCAGGAAGTAAGATAAACAAGAAAACAAAACCACAGCTGAAGCATGGACTCGCTTGTTTCTGTGCCCCCGTGATCAGCTGTGTTCTTCTCAGCGGGTGGGCACGACAGCCCACTGACCCAGCAAGAGGCCCCTGGCCGCCCGGAAAGCGGAAACGGGCCTGCTGCCTCGCACGTCAAAGTGGGGCAGAGCAGCCCTCCCATGAAGGATGGCTTCCTCCTCTTGAGTGAAATAAAGCAGAGAGAGCAGGAAGGTCTGTGTTTAATGAATATCTTTGAAAGCTTTTGCGACAGTAGACAGAGCCCAAGGCAGCTTGGAAACCCACACTGATGGCAGGAGGGCTCTCATGCCTCCAGATGACCCTGCAAAACAAAAATGGTTCCACTAGATTAGGAGTGTGACCTTTTCTCACCTCATTTTTTTTTTTTTTTAATCCCAGCTTTCAATATCATTTCAGGAATCATTCTGCCTGAAAAACTTGTGGTGGCCTCAATGGCATAGCCTGGCTTGAAGTTGAGGCAGGAATGGGAAAGTGCCCAATCCAAGATGCAAGGAGGGAAACTGCTCCCACCCCTTCCAGAAGCAATGGAAACATCTCTCCTCTCACCACCAAGGTCACACGGGAAAGGCCACCAGCAGGAACATCATCTTGATGCTAATGGTCCCCTCCCCATCTCCCTGTTGCCATCTTTACCCCTGAACTACGGTACTCCCACTTCCACTCTCTTAATCCATTCCACTACATTAAGAAGCTTCCTGATACTGACATGACAAATCAACTCTGGGCCTCTCTTCACAGTCCCTAATTCCCCAAAACAGTATAGGAAAAACTAAACATTTGCATTAAACTTCTCTTTTAAATTCTCCACTTGATTTCTTTCACACCCTGGACCAATAAACCACAGCTTATTTTCACAAGAGTAAAGAAGCCTATGTCTGTAAGTGAGGTTAACACCCACCCTGAGGCTGGATTCTGTCTGGTCTCTCCCAACAGCCGAGCATCATGATTTTGCTAATTAAGCCACTTTCTTGTCTTTAATTAGCTGCATGTGAATTTTGCTGGGAAGTCTTGGATCCGTGAAGTAGTCTGGGATAAAAATCAAAAAGAAGACATCATCTATACCCAAAGGGAAAAGACTTACCCACGGAAGGAAACAGCTTACTCCACCAGAAAGTTAGGATGGCTTGGTACTAGCAGGACTGCTACTAGTGGCCCTGCTTTACAATGTAATATGGTAAAATGAGCGGTCACTGCCCCCACCCAAGCAGTTCTGAGTCTGCCAGCTCCAACATTCCCAGGAAGGGCGCCCAGAGGCTGGCTGCCGCCCCTCCACGCTGTGCCTGCCCCCACCCCCCACCTACCCTGTGCTGCACCGTTTGCTCCTCCGCCTGCTGACGCACAGAGAGCCATCAGAGGGCTCAGGGATTCTCTGGGTTTTCTGCTCCAGGCCCATCTTGGGGCCCAAATAAATGCCAAGTATTATTCTTGTCTCAGTTCGGCTTGCCAGCTCCCGTCTCTGAGCTATCACGCCTTCTCTGAGAATACCCTCTCAGAGGAGAGCCAAGCTCTCGCAGGATGACGCCAGATGAGGGTTTTTATACACCCAGCATACTGTGAATCACAGGCAGCATCTGCTGCGCTAGCAAAGGCGTATTGAGATTCCGTTAGCAATGGTTTGAGGTCTAGGAGGTACCCAATTCTCAGGACTAACAGGACCCAAGAAATTGTCGGACCCATCCCTTTCCCTCTAAATACCATTGACCTTAAGGCATCTCAGGCAGCCAGTCCATTAGAATCACCTGGGGAGTCTTTAAAGCTCTGTATGCTGGGCCCCACCCCAGACTAATTAAATAAAACTCTCTGGGGGTGGGGCCTGAGCATCAGTATTTCTGAAAGCTCCCCAGGTGATTCTGATGCACAGCTAGGGTTGAGAGCCCTGCTTTAAGATTACCAAGGGAAAAGCTGCCGATACGTTCCTTTGGGAATCTCAAAATTCTTAACCATCCTCACCATGAGGAAGTTCTGCCTCATTTCTGGTCTGTCCTCATTTTGAGGAAATGATGATGGAGGAAAGAAAAAGCTGAGAAAACGTTCCCTTGGGGGACATCAGGTGAAGGAGTACCCCAGACTCCGCAGGGAGAATCCTGGGCTCATTCAAGCTCAAATTCATAAACATGCTCCCCGTGCTGGCTTTGTCAGATACCCAAAACCGATGCTGCCTTACTCACCTGCAGCAAATTCTAGGATGTTGTCTGGTCTTTTCAAAAATATTTCTCTGGAAAACATGAAGGGATAGGATGGGAGGTAAAGCAGACTTTAAGGCAGGCTGTGGCTACACTTCATGTCCTGTGCTTTCACAGAGTAACCTGAGACACAACCATCTTGGGAGTCAATAAATCCGCAGACTCCTGACAAAGACCCTTTCATTCGTGATTTTCCTTCAACTCCATATCTAAGGCAAGGGGCAAAGCATCCTAAATGTCAATACACTAGGATATTGCTTACGTCACAAAAGAGCTGTGCTGCAGTCAAGTGGGGCTTATCATTCCATCAACAACCTTTTTTATGGTGCATTTATTTATTTATTTGAGACAGGGTCTCGCTCTGTCACCCAGCCTGGAGTACAGTGATGCGATCACCCTCCCTGGCTCAAGAGATCCTCCCATGTCCAGCCTCTCGACTAGTTGGGACTACAGACGTGTGCCACTGCGCTGGCTAATTTTTTTGTAGCGGCAGGGTCTTACTATGTGGGTCCAGGCTGGTTTCGAACTCCCAGGCTCATGTGATCCTCCTACCTCGGCCTTCCAAAGTGCTGGGATTACAGGCTTGAGCCACGGCACCCAGCCTCAACGACCATTTTCACTGAACCAGATCTCAAGCCAAGGGCAAGAGGCAAAGATGAAGAACATGCCGGCTGGCCCATGACTGGTGGGAGATATGCAGCCCCACAATGTCCTGAGTAAGCTTAACCGTGAATTCAAGGGGCAGAGGGAGATACAATAAACAGAGCTAAAAGATGGACCTCAGATGGTTGTTGGCCCCTCAGTCCAGCAAAGAGACACTGTGGTAACACCTGCAGGGCCAATGCCACTAGAGAGTTGAAAATGCCTCATATTGCATAGAGTTTTATGGTTCATAAAGTATGTTCACAAATATTGTCTCACTTTACAACAACCCTGTGAAACAGCCATTATTATGCCCCCATTTTACATCCAAAGAAACCAAGCCTTCAAAAGATTAATGATTTGCCCAAGTTCATAAACTTGGCAAATAAAGTAAAGAGGGCCCAGGTCTTGTGACTCCAAGGTCAGTGCTATCTATAATATGTTCTCTTAGCCAAGGCCTCCCAACTCCCCAGGAAGCCCCTCCTTATCCTAAGCTTCAAGAATTTTGCCCCCCTTCTCCTTCAATTCATTTTGATAATTAGTGAACACAAATTTGTGTAATTGCACTGGCTATGAGTGACTGCTTTTTTCAAAATAAAATAAAATATAGCCCTACCTCAAATAACTTACAGGCAAGTAAAAAGGAACAGGTTTGTTTTCAAATGTCCAAAAGGTCAAGGAACCTCTGACAAGTGCTAAAGAGGATATTAAATAGTGCTCTGGGAGATCAGAGTGGGGAGAGAGGTTACTGAGAGGAGGAAGCCAACGATCTTCACAAAGCAGCTGGCATTTGAGAGGACCCTTGAAGTACACATGGGATTGTAGTAGGCGGGATGAGGGTGGAGGGACAAGAACATTCCTGATCCAGGGAAACAGCAAGAGCAAAGGCCCAGAAAGAGAAACAGTTTGTGTTCTATAGACTACGACTTCCTTGAGGGTAGGAAGTGGGTTGTAGACACCTTTCTATCTCGAGTCCAAAAGAGCACTCAAGAGGCCATCTTTGCCTGAGCTCCATGGGGTCAGCAGAATGATCAGAAACGTGGTCTGGCTGGAGTGAGGGACGAATGCAGGGAGTAGTGGGAAACAGAAGAGGCTCTATTACGGAGGGCCTTGAATGCTGGGGAGAGACATTTATACTCAGTCTGAAAGACAATGGAAATAGACAAAACACGGCATAACACATGATGGAATATTATACAGCAGTGAGAAAGGAGGATCTACAAGATACCACTGAGCAAAAGGAAACAGGCACAAAAGAGCACGTAGTGTAGAATTCCATTCATATAAAATATAAAAGTGCACAATAAATCCATGCTAGCAGAAGTCAGGATACTGGCTACTGTTTTAAGGGGAGTGACTGGGAGGGGCACAAAAGGTGTGAGGTGCTGGTAAGGTTCTATTTCTTCATCTGAACAATAGTACCATGTGTATTTTCACCCTGTGACAGTTCATCCAGCTTAGGATATGTCACTTTTCAGTATATTTCAATAGAATCTTTAAAAATAAACCCAAAAAAGCAATGTTGTGGAACTACTGAAGATTCTTCCAGCCAAGGAAGGACATGATCACTGCTGTATTTGTAATCCCAGCACTTTGGGAGACTGAGGCAGGCAGATCATGAGGTCAGGAGTTTGAGACCAGCCTGGCCAACATAGTGAAACCCCATCTCCACTAAAAATACAAAAAGTTAGCGGGCCTGGTGGTGGGAACCTGTAATCCCAGCTACTTGGGAGGCTGAGGCAGGAGAATCGCTTGAACCCTGGAGGTGGAGGTTACAGTGAGCCGAGATTGTGCCAGTGCACTCCAGCCCAGGTGATAGTGCGAGACTCTATCTCAAAACAAAACAAAAAAAACGGTGGCTCACGCCTGTAATCCCAGCACTTTGGGTGGCCGAGGCGGGTGGATCACGAGGTCAGGAGATCGAGACCATCCTGGCTAACACAGTGAAACCCCGTCTCTACTAAAAAAAATACAAAATAATTAGCTGGGCGTGGCGGTGGGCACCTATAGTCCCAGCTACTCGAGAGGCTGAGGCAGCAGAATGAATGGCATGAACACGGGAGGCAGAGGTTGCAGCGAGGTGAGATCACACCACAGCACTCTAGCCTGAGCAACAGAGCGAGACTCCATCTCAAAAAAAAAAAAAAAAAAAAAATTAAAGACTTTCTACAATTTCATACCTGCCTATCTATCATATCTGCAGCACAAAACCCAAGGTTTCCGTGTACCTTAAAATAAGTCAGATTCCTACTCTTTCCATTTTGCAGGTCCAAAACTCAAGGTGTCAAGAGTTTGGTACACTGTATTTACCAGTATAGGCTGGAGAATTGTGGCTGAATGGCCATAAATCATTAGGATCCAAAAAACCCAAGTAGGGAGTTTGCTTCCCAGAAAGAACCCTTCAGAGCTTCTTTTGGCTTGGAATGAATCAACAGCAGAGATTTGCAGAACAGACAAGGACAGGCACGGTGCTCAGGACTCTGCCCTCACTTCTCTCTTCCTCTTTTCTCACAGGAAGGACCATGTGAGGTGACCAGCAGGGACAGAGGCTGATTCTGGTTCATCCTGGTACCAATCAAAGGAAACAAGGACACTGAACAAACAAAAGTAAACCCTAAAACTTCAAACACGAAACCCTCCGCAAGCTCCACCCAGGAAAAGAGGTCAGGAGGATTTCAGGTGGAGTAGCTTTAGGGACAGCAAAAAGAAAAACCTGGTGGCCTACCTGGCCTTGACAGCAGCATGGTAAGAAAGGAAAGGAAGTATCTGGGGCTGTCCCCACAGCAGCCAGTCCCAGACACCCAGGCTGCTCCTGGAGACTGTTCCTGGACAAAGAGAGAAGCAAGACCATCCCTGACAGGTGACTGAAACAACTCCTTCTTCATTCATCAACCCCAAGTATTCTAATCCTGTTGTTTGAGAGCAATGCAAATGTTGATTTAGTTCCAGCTTTTAACCTCTATCCCCAATCTCTCTGCTGGATCTACTTCTAACTTGGAGAGCAAGCTCCCCAAGATAGGAATGGTATCATCTTATTTCCCTTTAGAAGAAAAGTTGCAAACGGTGATGGCCTGATCCTCAGGTCTGATATTGACAGAGGATCCCTAAACTGTCTTTTGCCCAAGGCTTATCCCTGGCCAGCCTTCATAACTGGATAGGTTTCAGTTTTCTCTGTCTCCTTCCCCTATCTGCCCTCTGAGAATCTGTTGCCACTTGGAGAAACGTCTATAATATGAATAGTGAGTTTTTATAATTTTTATTTTATAGGACAGAATCTTGCTCTGTCGCCCAGGCTGGAGTGCAGTGGCACAATCTCGGCTCACTGCAACCTCTGCCTCCCAGATTTAAGTGATTCCCCTGCCTCAGTCTCCCAACTAGCTGGGATTACAGGCACGTGCCACCACGCCTGCCTAATTTTTGTATTTTTAGTACAGACGGGGTTTCCCCATGTTGGCCAGGCAGGTCTTGAACTCCTGGTCTCAAATGATCCACCTGCCTCGGCCTCCCAAAGTGCTGGAATTACAGGCGTGAGCCAACGCATCTGCCTGGCCAACTTTTTTTGTTTGTTTGTGACTGAGTTTCACTCTTGTTGCCCAGGCTAGAGTGCAATGGAGCAATCTCAGCTCACTGCAACCTCTGCCTCCTGCGTTCAAGCGATTCTCCTGCCTCAGCCTCCCAAGTAGCTGGGATTACAGGCGTGAGCCCCTGCGCCCAACCTGGACAACTTTTGAGAAGACAAAGGAGGGCCTGACTCTGGCTATAAGCCCACAGTCCAGAGGGGAAATGGGGACCAACTGCTGACAGCACAATACAGTGGAGGGTTTGAATCCTGGTTCAGCAACTTTGGGAAGGTACTCCACTTTTCTGAGCTTAAATTTTCTTACTTGTAAAATGAAAATGACAATAACTTGTCTTTTTTTTTTTTTTTTTTTTTTTGAGATGGAGTCTTGCCATGTTGCCCAGGCTAGAATGCAGTGGCGCTATCTCGGCTCGCTGCAACCTCCACCTCCTAGGTTCAAGCAATTCTCCTGCCTCAGCCATCCCAAGTCGCTGGGATTACAGGCGCCCGCCACTATACCCGGTTAATTTTTGCGTTTTTAGTAGAGACAGGGTTTCACCATGTTGGCCAGGCTGGTCTCCAACACCTGACCTCAGTTGATCCACCCGCCTCAGCCTCCCAAAGTGCTGGGATTACAAGCGTGAGTCACCATGCCCAGCCGACAATAACCTGTCTTTTGTGGAGGTGCTGGGAGGATCAGCAAAAGTGTTCCAAGATGCCACACACTGCGTGGGCACTGGGAACACAAACACACTCCACTAGCTCGGAGCTTTGGACCAGTAACAGAAGACTGACAGTGCAACTACAATACAGTGTGGTAAGTGCTAATGTGGTAAGTGCTAAGGGAAACAGCACAACGCCTGGAGATGGGTGCCATTATAATTATTTAAACCTTGTCTATTTGTCTATAACCAAACAGCATTTGAGATAGCTCTATTGTTTTCATCCACTGATGCTCTGTGATTTTTTTCTTTTTTTTAATTCTCTGCCTTTCATCCCATTAGGATATGTTTCCATTCAAGCAAATGTCAGGCTGAAAGGAGGGTGGGGGAAGGAAAGAACATATTCCAGGATACACTGGTAAATTGTCTTCTCTTCCCCAAGAAAAGAGTGGCTTCCAACGCTTGGAATTTTTCTATAGTAATGTTTTCACGTAGGGAAGGGCCAACCAGACAACTGATTTTTGTTTTAAGTTCAACTAGTGATTTTGTTAAGCTCCTATGGTTGAGAATAGTGTTCTACACCCAGTGGATGGCTGTTGGGTTTCTCAACGCCAAATTCCCTCTTCCGAGTGTCATATGGTATGTATTTATCCTTACGGTTAAAGTAAATGAATAGACATATTTTTAAGAATTTAGAGATAACTGAAGGAAACCTCTAGCGATAACGAAGAAAACCCTGGGTGCCACAAATCCCAGAGCCTGGAAAACCACCTACCTGAAGAAACCACTTATGAGCCACTCTGCTTCTTTGTGGGTCCTTAGGTACTTTTCGTTAGCAATCCGAGTCTGAATCTGGGGGGCAAGAACAAAAGGTCACTCCATGAGGAAACAGATGCAGGGTTCAGCCCTGGAGATGTGAAGGGCTGCGGGAAACGGCGTGCGCATTTAACCCAAGTCTTTCCCCAGGATGCTTGAAAGTTTAAGCCACCCATCTTCTTACAGATAAAATATCATTCTGCCGCCTGTTCAGGCTGAGGGGCCTTAACTAAGGTCGGATGTGTAATTTCGGCCCATTTCTCTGGCCGAGTCCCTGAGTTAGTTCTTCCTGCACTCTCAGACACCCGTGGCGCTCAGACGCCCAGAGGTCCGCCGGGGGTCCCCCCTGCACCCTCCCCACTTTGTCAGGGAACAGGCTCCCGCTCCCCTTCTCTCGACGGCTCTCTTCCCAGTCTGGGCCCCAGTCCTTGGGGAGCTACACTTTGGTGGACGCCGGGTAGGGGCACGGGCGCACCCACCTTGAATTTTCGCAGCTGTTCCAGCTGCGCGGCGCTAAGCGCCCCGGGGTCCGGCCGCTGCAGCAAGCTCGGCGGCGTCTCCATCTTGCTGCGGTCGTCAAGGCAACGGGCCGCGAGCCGGCGAGGCCCCGCCCTGCCCCCAAGCCCGGCCCCTTCAGCGAAGCTGGGGCGAGGGACTGAGGGAGCTGAGGGGTGAGCTCCGGGGCTGGGGCCGGGGCCGGGGCCGGGGCCGGGGCCGGGGCCGGGGCCGGGGCGGGGGCGGGGGCGGGGCGGGGTCTCTAAAGGATCGCGTTTCCAGGATTGGGGTACTGATTTCTGGACTTAATTGTATGTGGAATGAGCCCTTCTTGACCCCACCCAACCTCAGTTTTTTTTTTTCCTAGCTCTAGAATAAAACAACAGGAAAAAAGCTCTCCCAGAATCTGCTTCCAGACTCCCTCACTTGGACAGAAGCTAGAGGAAGCCTAGTACTGGGGAAAGAGAACCCAGGCTTACTCCCTTTCCACTGTCCCAGAAGCCAACCCCCCACCCCCCGTCCTGTACACATTCGACACTGGAGCTGTGGATTCTTCAAACAACGTGGAAGCACCCCAGAACATAGAGTGAGCTGAGTTCTGCAAAGGAAGGAACGTTCTCTCCAACTAAAGATGTTGGAAAGGACCCCGGGGACATTCTGCCAGAATTTCCCCCTCTTGGACTGACTTTTTTTGTGTAGAATAACTTTCTCTTCACCCTGTTCTCCTCATAAATTCTAAATTATTTTCTTCCACTCCTAACTGAATACGGGAGGAGAAAGGGAATTTGGTTTTCAAGATTTGTTCTTCTAGTATCTAATTAAGAAGAGAAAGTGAAACATAAAGCCAGAGAGCTGAAAATAGCCACGAAAAAGGGCATGAGCCTGTCTGTCAATACACACATGCCGAGCTCCTACCCCCGCAGAGATCGTGCTCAGCAGAGGCCTTCTGAGAAGCAGGAGAAAAAACGGGAGGCTGTCTTTTCAGATTTGTGAACAACTCCCTAAGGAGCAAGAAAACACCATGAGAAACAAGCTCAGCATTAGGCCCTGGTCGTGGATGGGGCTGTCAACGGTCTGCCTCTGTCTTTCCAGCGAAGACTGAGGAAAAGAAGTGAAAGTGTTGGCAGTTCCCAAGCCAGGGAAAACCACAAGAAGTAAATTAGTTTGTGGGCTACCAGCCACTTCCCAGGAACCCCATCCCAGTTAGTGATCATTTTGGTTGTTTGTCTTTTTTTAAGAGAGAGAGAGAGTTAATAGAGTGAGAGAGAGATAAGCTGCCATCTGTCAGAAGTGATTTTTTATTTTTTTCCGGCAGGAGCAAGAGGTTAACCAGAGACAATGGTTCCTGTTGGCCAAGATCTGTCTTCTCCCCACACTCCCTCCAGAGAAGCTAGTGGTGGCACCTCCAGAGCTGTGCCAGCCAGTATAGAGCTGTGCCAGCCAATACAGTCTCCACAAGCCACCTGTGGCTCTTGAACACTTGAAATGTGGCTGTAGGTGTTAAATGTGCAGCAAATATAAAATAAACACTGGATTTTGAAGGCTTGATATGAAAAAAATCTCATTAATAACATGTAATTGATTTACATGTTGAAATAGTATTTTGGATATATCAGGTTAAACAACATTTATTATTAAAAGTGATTTCACTTGTTTCTTTTTGTTTTTATGTATGGCTACTAGAAATTTTTAAACCATATATGTGGCTTGTATTATATTAGACAATGCTAGAGCCTGGACCAGCAAACCTACACACACAGACACACACAGGCATGCACAGTGTTCTCTACCTCCCCACCTCCAAGTAGAAAATTGATATCCTCCCTCTGCCAATCTGTGATCTTCTTGTGCTTTGATAATCAATCAAGCCTTTCTTCACTGATCACATTCTATGGCCCAAATGCCCGTGTATGAGAGGGGCTACTTTTTGTTTTTTTAACAGCATCTCAGTACTCACTATTATGTATTGTGTTGGCCTGTCTTACTTTCCACTTGAGGTGGAAGTCACTTGAGGGCAGGAAGGTTATAGAATCAATTCTTTGTGCACTCTCATAAATTCTGCTGCAGATGTCTTCACTCTGTATTCAATTTGTGAAGCCAGACAGTATTCGATGACTGGTCACTCTGCCCACACATACCACCACATTTTGCCCTTTCTGAAAAATATCCCAATTATCCGGCATTTCTCATTTCCTAAGAATCTAAAGCCAGGATCAGAGCTCTCCCTTTACAAATTCAATAATCTTTTTATGTAGGGCAACCTAGCTTTGACTGCAGAGGAATAAAAAAGAGGGTGAGCTTGGGGGTGGTGGCAGAGAAAGTATCTTGGAAGCCTCTGTCCCTCCTAGAGAGAAACTTTCCGGAATAGGCACTGGAGTCTCAGGGCTCCCCTGTCTTTACCTCACAGGACTCCCATCCCATGGCCTGAAAGAACACCAGAGATGTGTTCACAGTCACTCAGCAAGGAGAGTCTGATGAGAGGTACCACTCTTCTCCCTTAAACCCTGCCTCTTCTCTCAGACTGACACCTTTAATCTAAGGACCACAAACTAAGCAAAGGACTGGAGGCATTTTGCTGCCTGCAGCTATCTCCCCAATTACTGACTGGGAGGAGGAGTGAGGGGAGTTCATTTTAATTCATTTTTGTGAATGTTTAATATTTCAATTAATATGATTAGCCCCAAGCCTGAATGAGCAGCAGGGCGGCAGATCTGCTGAGAAGACATAGAGTAATGAGATCAACAGGGCCATAGGGTCTTCCCCTTCTCCATCCTCAGAGGGCATGATCTGTTTAGCATCTCCATAAATACCAAGATCAGATTAGAAGGCAAGGAAAGGAGCAGTGGGGGTGGGGTAGGTGAGTGGAAAGTTACTTTCAAGATGTGTTTGCCCTTCTGGATTCCCTGGCTCTGCCATCACTCGCTTCTTCTGAGCACCCACCACTGAGTCCTCTAGCACCTCCCCCACTGCCACCCCATCTTAGAGGACCCTACTTGGGGGACCTGGGCATCCATGTGATGAAGTGTCATCAAGTCTACACACATACACATTCACTCAAATGCAAGCACCTGCCAGAGCGTGGCTCCAGGCCACAACAAAAAAACAGGCTAAGGAAGGATGGGAGGTGGTCCACAGAACCAAGCAGTAAAAAGGACTCTCTCTCATCCAGGGCTTAAATGGAGACAGAAGAGGAAGAAAGGCCAGATTTCACCACTGCTCCTATTCTCAAGAGGAATGTTTGATGTGGGAGTTAAATGCGTGGACGCAGGAGCCAGACTGTCCGGGCTCCAATCTCAGCTAGACCTCTTTCTAGCTGCATGGCTTTAGGCAAGTTATTTCAGCTTTGTGTCGTGGTTACCTCCTCTCTATTTGGAGATAATGACAAAATCTACATCATAGGGGGGTGGTGAGGGTTTAGGAGTTAGTAAATATAAAGCACTTGGCACAAAGCCTGGGACACTGTAAGAGCCATGTAAGCACTGGCTGTTACTATTATTTTCCTTCCAGAAGAGAAGCCTGCCTGCTGTGATAGCTCAGGAATGGAGGCCCCTGGGACTCAGCTGGGACACAGTTTAGAGACACGAGTGCCCTGTGGAAACAGCAGCCCTACTCCGGGGGTGAAGAAGGGAATGACAGGAAGACAGGGTGCTCTACAAAAGCCCAGAACCCCAGGAGAGCCCTGGTTGCTGAGCACTGACGGAAAGCAAGGGCTGCCACCACTGACAAGGTCTGATGTCCACAGATAATCCCTGCACTGAGGGTGTGCTCAAGCTCCCTCCAGATCGTGGAGCCTGCCAATCATCCATACAAGTATCCACGTTCAGGGGAGCAATGGTCCCTGAATGTGCCTCCCCTGCTCCTCTGTGCTACCTGGCTCAATTTGAGTCCCACTCAAAGAACCCAACTGAAGAAAGAAGCAAAGGAAAGAGTAATTGGGTTTCTACATCCTAAGGGGAAGCTTGACAGCTGTGGTTCTTCCCACTGAAGGAATCAGGAATCCACTGTTGTCAGAGGTTCTTTGCATGAAGTGTTTGTTAAGCTCCTGCTACGCATGAGCAAGACAGGGTGCTAGACACTATGAACAGTAAGATGCTGAATTAAACGATGTCCTGGTCTTCAAGGAGCTTACAAGTGAGAGCGCCCGCCGCGCCTCCTCCGCGGCCTCCCTGCCCACGCACTTATACTCACAAACCCCCCAGAGGGAGAGAAGGGGGCGTCGGCAAATGCCAGAAAGCTATCGTTTTTCTTGGTTCCTTTTCTGGAAAATATACAGTTCTCTTTCTGCATTCATCTCATCCTGCTCTCGCCTTCCCCACGTTCCTTTCCATTTTTCCTCTCTGCATTTTTTCTTTTTCCCCTAGACTCTGCGACCTGCTTCCCTCTCCATCTACACCTCCTTCCCCTTCAGCCTGTCCAACCGTCCTATCTCATCTTCTTTCCCCTGATTTCTTTCCTTGACTCTCTACTCTCGGGGCTCCCCAGATGCCGGGCTCCCCTCTTCCCCCCCAACCCCCCATCTCCTGAGTCTTCCAGCACCGGGGACAGCTCCAGCCCCCGGAACAATGGACCCCATTTTAGGGTTCCTCTGTAAATTCTCCATCTTAGTGCTTTGCCCAACTACTGACTGGGGAGTAAGATGGGGGAAGGGTTATTATCAACAGGACCAGCTGCTCTTCTGGGGGCGGGAAAGGAGTCAGGGAGGATGGAGATAGAAAGAGGGCGTGGCTCTTGCTTGGATTGTGCGTCCCTCTCCAGGGTAGAGAATTTGTATTCGACCCCTGAGACTGACATCACTGATGTCAGGGGAAAGGAGGTGGGAGTGGGGAGGGGGGTGTGGAGGGGGGAGGTTTTTGTTGAGGAGAGCGCGGCCGGAGAGCAGAGCTCCGGGACCCAGGTGACCGGGAAAGCAGGCAGCCCCAGCGGCGGGAGCAGCCGGCAGCAGCCCAGGCCCGGGGACAGGGGTGGGGGTGGGAGGGGGGCTGAGGGGAGGACCTGAAGGGGGGCGGCAGGGCAAAAGGGACCCCTGAAGCCCTGCCGCCATCAGAGATCAAGCATCTGGCATCAGGGATCTTCGGACCCAGCAGAACGATCCGTCACAGGGGAGGTGTCCTCCCAGGGAAGCCAACGAGACATTCACCTGCCCCACATCAGGAATGGGCCCCCCTCACTGACGCTGCTGGCAACCATAGCAGGCCCCTTAACCCCTCAGTCTCCTCCCTATCACCCACCTCAGGCCCTTTCCCCGCCTCCAGCTCTCATCTCAACTCCCAGTTCCCAGCCCTCTAAGCCCCAGCGCCCCGGCTACCACCTCTCCCTCCAGGTCTTGGCCACACTCACCCCCATCCTGGGACATTTGCCAGATCTCTGGGAGGGAGATCGTTTGTTTGGGCGATGCCCCCTGGTGGCATGACAGCGTCTGCCTAGACCCCTGACCCCTAGCCCTCAACTCCCTGGGCCTCCTTTGTGTGAAGAGCCGCCCCTCTGCTCAGCAGCGTGGTTGGGGGCCAAAGGGAAAGCCAGCCCCGGCTGGGCCCTCGGGCCCCACCACTTATCTCCTTGCTGGGCAGCTCCCCTTGGCCTTTGGGTCTCTCCCTGCTCCCTCGGCCCTCCTCCTGGGCCGCCTCGATGAAGGAGCCGGATGCCATCAAGCTGTTTGTGGGGCAGATCCCGAGGCATCTGGAGGAGAAGGACCTGAAGCCCATCTTCGAACAGTTTGGTCGGATCTTCGAGCTGACTGTCATCAAGGACAAGTACACCGGGCTGCACAAGGGTGAGGGGTCGGGCAGGCTGAAGAGGCTTCGGGGTGGGCTGGGAGGCTGGGGGTAGTTAAGCCAGGCTGGAGGGGTGGAGTGGCTGGGAAGGGCTGATGTGGAAGGAGAGGAGTTCAGGGCTGGGGAAAGTGGATGGAGGAGCATAAAAAGAACTCAGCTAGTGATCAGGAAACCCAGGTGAAGAACTAAGGAGGGCCTCTTTTGGGCAGAGAGTTGTCAAGAGGGTGCAAAGATGTGGATCCCAGACATATGGGGGTGTTGATGTCACATGGGATGAACTCAAGAAAGAATGGAGGGACAAGAGAGCTGGTTTGGGAGATAAGCAGCTGGGTAGGGGTGTGTGTGTGTGTGTGTGTGTGTGTGTGTGTGTGTGTGTGTAGCAAGACTGAGAAACTGAGCAGCCTCAGATAATATTGGAATGGGGGTCAGGACACAGGGTCAGGTGCTTAATGTGGAAAGCGTAGAGCTGGACTGGGCAAGGCAGCTCCAGGACTAAAGAGAGGGACTAGGAAGCAGGGCATGAAGGCTGGAGATTGGTAAAGATCTGGAAAGTGTGGGAGGCTTAGAAAGTTAAGAGAGTGAGGGAGAAGGGAGGGTGCTCCTCAGGCCTATCCAAGGGCTGTGCGACTAGGCAGGGCGGTCAGGGTCAGCACTTGGAGAGCTCCATGCACTGGAGATCCCAGGGGCCACACTAGCTCCCCCTCCACCTGGCACAGGGAAGAGGCACTTCCGGCTAACTGCTCTTCCCTTCCCTTCTCTATTTCACTCTCCACCCTCCACCTGCCTATGGTGGAGCTGGGGAGAGATGAGGAAATAGGGAAAATGGGAGAAGAGAGGGATGATGGTGACCAAGATGGAGGGAGGTGGAGGTGAGGGAGCGGGGAAAGGAGAACAGCTCAGCAGGAGAGAAAGCCACACTACTCCAACTTGTCTGGCGGTCACATGGTCCTTCTCCTCTCCTTACACAAAGCCCATCTCCCGACAGCCCAAGTGTCCTCCCTCTTCCATCACCACCAGTATTTAGGCCTCCAGGTGTCTGCCCCACTTCTGGGGCAGAGTGTCTACCCCTTGGAGACACCTCCCCACCCCAGCAGGCAGAAGATGACAAGAAGGGAAAGCTTCCCAGTCCTCAGTCTTTGGAAGGGAGCCTTTCAGAGAGGGGAGATGGAGGACTCACCGCCCCCCACCGTGTTTCTCTGCCCCTGCCCCTCCTCAGGATGTGCCTTCCTGACATACTGTGCCCGGGATTCAGCCCTGAAGGCCCAGAGCGCCCTACACGAACAGAAGACACTTCCAGGGGTGAGTCCTGCCCTTTGCAGGGCCAGGGGGTTGAGAAGGGCCATAGAAATGGCAGGAGGCTCACCACCCTCCTGACACTGAGCATATTTTCCACCTGCTCTCATCACCAGGAAGTCCCTCTCTCTCTCTCTAGCATCCATCTTTCTTGCTACAGATGCATGCATTTCTTGTTACCCAGAGAGAAGGAAAGCAGCAATTAGTGGAGTAAACATGACTTTTACCAGGAGCAGATGCAGCCCCTTCCCCACTTCCCAAGCTGCCCATGGGGCAACACTAGAGGGAGGACCCGCTGGTTGGAAGGTGTGGGGAAAAGTCTCTGGACACCAAGTGTGGATCAGGGTGAGCAGGAGCCACCCAGGCACTCTTTTGTCACTCTGGAAAGGCAGACTGGCTGGCTGTGAGATGAGGGAGGAGTGCCTGTGACCTGAGAACAGGCAGCTGGTGCCGGCTGGATTGGCATCTCGGTGCTGGTTCTTGAGCTCCCTTCTCCTTTCTGTCTACCAGGAAGAGTCCCAGGAACAAAGCCACAGAGCATTAGTTACCCTAATGGGCAGGCCCAGGCAGGTCTGGGCTGGAGGTAGGCCTGAGAGTAGCAGGCAAGGGCAGGGACAGACATTGTAGATGATCAGGCCTGATGCCACCAAGTATGCCCAGGGAGGCAGGGGTGGCCACGGAGGTGGCCCCTCTCCTGCAAGGTCCTATCTCTTTGTGTCTTCTTCTTCCCAGCTAGCCTTGCTTATTGTTCCAAGCCTGGGCTGGCAACTGAGGGCAGGAAGAAAGAACCTTGGACTGTCCCCCTTCCCCAGTCATGGAAGCTGGGGGAAAGGATGCCCCCACTCCCTTTGCTATCTGTCTGCTCTGCCTTCTTCCAGACTGTGAATCCCAGCAAGTGCCTTCCTGAGACCTAACTCCATCCCCACCTTCAGCAAACATTTGCTCAGCAGGGTCTGGGTGCCGGAGACACATCTGTCCTGGCCTCTACTGCTTCTCCAACATGGGAAGTGGAGACTGCTGCTGCTCACCCATCTCTTCCTAAGAGGGAAATAGAAAAAACAGATGGGGAAAGGGCAAGTAGAGACCTGGGAAAATTAGAACTGCTGCAACCACCCCCAACTTAAAACCCTGCATAGGTCCATGACCCAGCCCTTCCGTGGCCTCAACCTTTGAGCACTGCTAGGAAAGCAAAGCCAACTGCGGCAAATCCACCAAAAACCCCACCCCCACCAACGATCTTATCCCAGTTGGTGGCAAGAATAGCCATTGCCCGTTGCAGCCAGAGTTAAGGGTCATGCATGTGTGTGAGCTACAGGACCCAAGGCGAGTGTGTGTTTGTGCATACAGGCATGTGAGCTCCTGACAGGCCAGATGTGCGGGGTTTGGGCACACGTATCCCTGGCAAACCTGGTCCCCATCCAGTCCCAACTTGCCTTCCCCACTTTTCTCTGTGGAGGCCCCTCACAAATCAACAGTTTGCGTCTCCATCACCATTTGTCTTTTTCTGTTGTCTCCCTATCTCGGAGCCCCTGCAGAAATGAGAGGGGGTCAGAGCAAAAGGTAGATAAAGAGGATTGGAGTGAAAACATGGATGAGAGACAGCCTGGGGATGGGCATGAGCCCCAAGGGTGATGTGTACCAGTTGTGGGTGTCTACCCTGGGTCTGTGCCCCTCCAGCTGCCTGGCAGCTCAGGCAGAGCTCCATCCTGGGTGTGGAGAGGCGCCACCTGCCCTTCTTGAGGAAGTCCAGGCCAGGATGGGGGTGAGGAAGAAGGGCGCCTGGTTAATGATTGTCTAGTCCTGCTCTAGAGCTCCCAGGTGACGCTGAAGTCTCCACTTTAGTCCTTGCCCCAGGGGACAGAATCCAGAGGGATCTGACAGAGCTTCCAGTAGGAAATGAGGGTTCCATCCTCCAAGGCAGACCCTCATCCAAAGGGTGTGAAGGAGCAGATCCAGGGCAGCTGTGGGGAGCAGACGTCTGTGACCCTTTGTCTTCCTCAAGTCTTCTCCTTTCACCTGCATTCTCCCCTCAGTGTGTGTTTGCACGTGTGTATGCATGCACACGCGTGTGTGTGCATTGTGTCAGCTCCTGCATAACTGTGTTCTTCCTACTGTTTAATCTCCATGCCTTCCTACTGCAGGTTTTTTTTTTTAAATGGGAGACATTTAGCCCCCTCTCCTTGCTCCCCATCTCTGTCACCCCCAAAATCTAGAAGGTGCTACCATACTAGGGTGATATTTTGGGCTGCAGAGAGAAAGAGAAAGAATGGGGGCTGGGCCTATAGCTACTGAGCCCCATTTCCTCTTCTCTGCCCTAAGGGTTCCCAGGAGTGGCTCTGCCACAGGTCCCTGCATTTGTCCTGTGAGCAGGGTGTGGCCTCCTGGAGGCAGTGGAGTGGGGGTTGCCCTCTGTCCAGCTTTTCCCCCTTCACCCTGAACCAAAATCCCACTTGGGGGACACGGGCCTTCCCTGTCGGCCTGCAGTCAGGAAGGTGGATTCTAGCCCCACAGAGAGAACCCGTGAGTGGTCTGGGACTCCCGGAGCAAGTGTGGAGCCAGGAGTGGCAGGACCCCAGGCTGTACCCTCAAAAGAATTAGATTTTGTGAGAACTGTGAGGTCTTCTTGGAAGTGGAATTTTTGCTATTGGCGAGGATGAGGGCCTTAAAAGTGACCGTGGTGGAGGGGCTCCGCGATACTGGGTTGGGGTATAAATAGCCCCTTCTTCTTTGGGAGGCCCGAGGGAGGGCCTGTCACCTGGTGGGTAGTAACTAGGGAGGAGAGGCACCGTGCCTGGTTGCCAGGTAAACAGGGCACAGCTGGACTCAGGGGAGGGGGCAGGTGTGCCTGAGCTGAGCTAACAAAGCCTGAGCTCCCCACAGGAAGTGCCAGGCCACGAAGAAGGAGGCTGGGAAGGGGACACTGGGGCGCCAAGGGCCCTGTCTGTGACCGTGTAGGGGGAGCCTACCGTAAGCACGGTCCTTGCTGTGGTTTGTACACTTGTGTATCTCTTTGTGCGAATCCACATCAGCCGTGGGTATTTCTCGAGATGCTATTTTTGTGCCTGGGAGCCTATGCCAGGAGGGAACTGCATCCTTTCTCTCTGGGTCCCAGGTTCCCATCTCCATCTAGAACAGCAAATCCCCAGGCATGCTGGGAAGGGGTTAGTGCCAAGCGTAAGAATCCCCCAACCCTGGTTCTGATTCTACTTCTTGTGAGGTGGGCATAGGGGTGGGTGCCTGGCTGCAGAGGTGCCTGTGAGGGAATTTCCTGAGTGCTTTGGCTAGAGCACAGGAGAGAAGGAGGTGAAAGCCCGTGCACCCCGAGCATCTGCCCCACTGCGCTTTGCCTGAGCATGCGCACTCGCGCGCACACACGCCTAAGGAGATTGAGCTTCGGATGGGATAATCCCAGATTGGCGGGCGATAAAGCGGGGGGCAGATTGGCTGGAGGATTTGTGTGACTGTTACCCTCCCTCCCCACCAGCTGCTCTCAGATCCAGAGATTTGGGGGGTGGGCGTGGGGCTCTGGGATAGGAGTATCAGTTGAAGTGGGGCTTACATTTGGTCCCAGGCTGGGAATACCTAACTGGTGGAGTCGGCCAGACTGACTGGCATGATGGACACCTGGGTGAGAATCCAGGGTGAGAAGGGGCAGGGGCAACTGTGACTTCTGTACTTCTTGGCGCTAAGTGATGCCGCATACAGGATCTCCACATGCTGGAGCCCTGAAGCTGACCGGAACCTGACTAGACATCGCCTGGCCCACTCCCTTGTTTTACAGATAAGGAAGTTGAGGCCCAGAGGGGACAAGTGGCTTGTCCAAGGTCGCCCAGCTAGTAAGTGGCAGGGCAGGGCTGGTCCTTAAATCCAGGTCTCCTGACTCCCAGTCCAGTGCCTTTCCTGAGGGTACCTCTAGCCTCACCCTCAGAATGTAAATGGATGGTTTAATTTTTTTTGGTCACTGGAACTACTGCCCCACCATCAGATGAGTGGGGCAACCAGGTGTGGTTCCAGCTGTCAGAGTCCTCAAGAGCAAAATATTTTCAGACACGAAATACTAAGTCCTTCTCCTCTTTCTCCAGTTCCTATAATACTCCCCACCCTGGTTAAGAAAATCAACCTGCAGGAGTAATTTCCAAGTCCTCTCACCAGACAAGAACATGGAGAGTGGAACTAGGAATTTCTCCATTTCCACTGAAGACTGAACAAAGGGAGATACTGCAGGGGTCTGGGAGAGGTTAGAGCTCTGGAGGACTTCCGTGCACAGGGTAAATTGCGAAGGAGCACGGGACAGCAACTCCTCCTTTAGAGCCCTCCAGGCACCAAGGATTTGCTCTGGAGGAGGGAGGCAGGAGAAGGGATGGGATGGCCCCTGCAGGGCCTTCTCTGCAAGCCTCCCTCCGGAATCAGGAAGGTTTTCTGGGCCCCTCCCCCACCTCCCAGCCCCCACCAAATCCTCCACCCCCAGCATACCCTGTTACCACCCCCCACCCCACTCCTTCTCTGGGTGTGTGGAGCAGCAGAAGTGATGACGTCACCACGGTCGCCAGGGCGACGGGGACGGATAAATCAGGCTGAGTGGGCGGTTGCCATGGTGCGCATTCTCCCGTTGCCACGGAGACTGGGCATCTGCTCCCTTTGTGCTGCCCGAGTGCCTTCCCCCTGGGGTCAAGGGGTATAGGGGGGCAGAAAGAGAGGCAGACACAACTCTAGGGGTCAGAAGGAAGTCTGGGCCTCTGTGAGGTCTCCCTCGGTCTAGAGTCCTCCTTGGGGCTTCTTCACAGAGTGGCCTCTGTTGCGCCCACTTTGTAGAATTGAGGCAATTCTTATTAAATAACCCCTTGGTTGGGCTCTCTCTCAGGCCCCGGGTCCTATGCGCAGGCCCCCTTCTCCCACTCAGGACAGCAGCACCCATCCCTGGCCAAGTCATTGGGAGCCCAACCTGAGCCTGGAGCTGTGCCCATGAGCATCTCCCTCTACATCCTCTCTCTCCGTGCCTCTGATCCCCTCAGGCCTTCATTCTGAACAATATTAGGCCCTGTCCCTTCCTTCCTATCAGAAACTTAGAGGGCCTGGGGCTTGCCCCTCTAGTCTCTCTGCAGGGCCCGGCCTGGGAGGGCTCTTGGGTGTTCAGAGGAGGTCCCCAGCAGCTGCCTTCTCTTCTCTCCTTCAGATGAACAGGCCGATCCAGGTCAAGCCAGCCGACAGCGAGAGCCGAGGAGGTAGGTTCTGTGCCTTTGGACTCTGTCCCTGTCCTCCCACCCTCAGGCCCAGGGCCTGGAGTTGTCGAGGGGTAGCCTTTCTTGAGGGAGAAAGCCTGACGATTCTGAAGAGTTCCCAGCTGTGGTGAGACCGGAGTCAGTGTGGCCAGAGGGGGCGAGATCTGGGGGGGTACAGATGGCAAAACCGAGGCCCAGGGCGGAGTGCGAGTCCCTCAGAGCTGGGATGAGCAACCTCTGCAATGTACCCCATTCCCTAACCATCAGCCCCCACAGCCACTGGCCCCTAGGGTAGCGGAAGTAGTGTTAGGAGCTCTAGGGAAGGGTGGAAGGAGAAGGGCTGGGAAGGCAGCAAGGAGGCCCTGAACATGCCCTCCTCCTGTGCCCTATCACCCAGAAGACCGGAAGCTGTTTGTGGGGATGCTAGGGAAGCAGCAGACAGATGAGGATGTCCGGAAGATGTTTGAGCCCTTCGGGACCATCGACGAGTGCACTGTGCTCCGGGGGCCAGATGGCACTAGCAAAGGTAGCCCACCTACTGCCCCTTCCCCACCAGGCCCTTCCCCTTCCCGTTCCACCCCCATGGCTCCCTAGGCATCGGGTTCCACTGCGGAGTCCCATGGGGATGGGTGCTCACCCCTCTCCTCCTCCATCTCAACCTCTCCAGGTTGCGCCTTCGTGAAGTTCCAGACCCACGCCGAGGCCCAGGCAGCCATCAACACCCTTCACAGCAGCCGGACCCTGCCAGTGAGCCCCACTCCCCTGCCCCTGGGCCTCTCCTTCCCACCCTGCCCACCCGCCAGGCCCTGGCCCAGATAAGCAGTCCACTCAGGATGGGCTATTTGAATTTATTGGAAAAGAATGTTCTGGCAGAAGAACCAAACCGCTTAGGGACACCCTCACATTTCAAATGGCATTTCCCCACCTCCCCACTCCTCCCCTATTCCCCATCCATCTTCAGCCAAATTTCCCTCAAGTCCCTCTCCTTCCCCCTCCATTCCCCAGCCCTCCCTTCACCCCCATCTCTTCTCCAGCCTTCCCATATCCCCCTACCCTCATTTGCTGGGGCACCAGGACACTTTCTTAGAGGCCCCACGTACACCCCTTTTCCCTGCCCCTGCACAGCAGCGTTAGGTCAGTGACCACCCTAGAACCCACCTCTAAATTGGAACTGGCTGACTCAGAAGGCTGTGCACTTCCCATAACTCACAGCTCTCCAGCATAACTCACGGGGACTTGGCGGAGGGGACACAGCATTGGGTAGAGAACTGTGTCCAATGACCCTATGCCCCTTCCAGCTTTGAGATTCTGGGATTCTACCATCATCCTTGCAGATGCTCTAATTTGGCTTTTATTCAGCTCAGACTAGTGTTAAGATTTGAGGCACACCATGAGGACTGGGGTGTGGGGGCAGAAGTCGTGGTAAGGCACGCAGGGCAGCTACAAGGGAAGACTAGCCTGAGATTAAACATTTGCTGTGGCGACCCGAGGTGGGGATGATTTCCAGTTCAGAGTCCTCACAGAGAAGCCAATGATGCCCTTTCCATTCTAGTAGGTCTTTCACTTTCCAAGCATATGCCTTCACATTCCTCAATTTTTCTTCTAGCTTCTAGCACATCCTAGCACAGGGAGAGGGTGGGATTAAAATCTCCCCATCTGTCATATGCAAAATGGTGGCCGCCCTCTCAGAGAGGCCAGGCCATGCCATGGGGGTGGAATGGAGACCAGGTCCTGAGGGCTCTGGGGAGGAGAGACCCTGACCCTGCACCTCTGACCTGTGTGCGGGCCCGTGCCCAGGGTGCCTCGTCCAGCCTGGTGGTGAAGTTTGCTGACACTGAGAAGGAGCGGGGTCTCCGCCGCATGCAGCAGGTGGCCACCCAGCTGGGCATGTTCAGCCCCATCGCCCTCCAGTTCGGAGCCTACAGCGCCTACACCCAGGCCGTGAGCACTGCCCCCAATGCCGGGCCAGCCCTCCTGACCCCCAGTATCTTGCCCCCACCCTTCTGATGCCAAGACCCAGGGCTGGGAGGGAGCCAGGCTGGGGCACAGGAGGCCTGCCCCACTCTCCTCTCCCCTCCCCCCAGCTGATGCAGCAGCAGGCGGCCCTGGTAGCAGCTCACAGTGCCTACCTCAGCCCCATGGCCACCATGGCTGCTGTGCAGATGCAGCACATGGCTGCCATCAATGCCAATGGCCTCATCGCCACCCCCATCACCCCATCCTCAGGTATGGCCTGGGCAAGGCTGGGCAAGGGAGCTAAGCGTGGTAGGGGTAGGGAGAGGCACAGGGTATTGCTCAGGGAAGCCTCGGGGTCTAGGAGGGACTCAGGGGTCAGAGTGGCCTACTTCCTCCCCTCCGCCCGCAGACTTCCTGACTGGTTCTCTGCCTGTGTGTGTGTGTGTGTGTCTGCTCCTCTGCTCTGTCCCTGTCGCTTTCTCCTCCCCAGGAACCAGCACCCCTCCTGCCATCGCTGCCACGCCTGTCTCTGCCATTCCGGCTGCCCTGGGCGTCAACGGCTACAGCCCGGTGCCCACTCAGCCCACTGGGCAGCCTGCCCCTGATGCTCTGTATCCCAACGGGGTTCACCCCTACCCAGGTGGGACTCTCTGCCTGCCCACCCCATCCCAGCAACCATCTAAACCACCACTCCCATTAGGGAGGCAGGACACACCTTCCCTTCCAGCTTTGGGGGTTACAGGTGCTTCCTCCTGCCCTGCCATCCTGGGCAGGGATGATCCTTCCTGTTGGGCTCGGCCAAGCTGAGGTGTAGAGCAGTGAAGCGACCTGTCCAGGGTTGCAAGACAGTCAGACCCAAGTCTTCCTAATGCTGGGCTCTTTCCCCTCTTCCCACTGCTTTGTGCATTTCCATCTTCTCACTTCACACCCCATGCCCAGAGAAGCTCTGCTCCCCACCTGCCTGGCCTCGGCCCAGAGGCCCAGAGAGGCACTGGGGGCTCCCACTGCATGCCACGTCCACGCTCATGGTCTGTGCTGCTCTCCCCAGCCCAGAGCCCCGCAGCTCCCGTGGACCCCCTGCAGCAGGCCTACGCGGGGATGCAGCACTACACAGGTGAGGCGCCCTAGCCCGGGCCCCTGCTCAGGTGGGAGGGGCAGCAGGAGGAAAAGAGGCCCAGTAACTGGGTCTGGGCTTCTTGGCTCCCTGCCAATCACCCTCTTCAGGCTTTACTGACAAGCCCAACTGTGGGGAGGGGTCTTTAAGGGCAGCACACCCAGGGGTCTGAGGCAGCTCCTTCCCTGACAACCTCTCAGCCCTGCAGCTGCCACTGGCCTGGGCTAGGGGAAAGGAGACAGGGTTGGCTGGGAGGGCTTAAGAAGCCAGGGAAGCCCCATCAGCCTCTCTGTCCTTCCCACCCCAGCAGCCTACCCAGCAGCCTACAGCCTGGTGGCGCCTGCATTCCCGCAGCCTCCAGCCCTGGTCGCTCAGCAGCCCCCACCACCCCCTCAACAGCAGCAGCAGCAGCAGCAGCAGCAGCAACAGCAGCAGCAAAGAGAAGGTACTGCCTGGGGCCTTGGGAGATCAGAATGCCCTCGTTATGGGCTTGGGGACTCCCTATTGCCCTGTGCTGAGCCCAGCTCTTGCCCACGTGTCATGATGAAAGCAAGTGGGGAGGGGGTGGCTTGGCCCACACTGTTGAGGACTGGGACTGGAGGGCCCTCCCAGGATCTGCTTTCCCTGGGACCTTTGCACCTGGAATGTGTGCCTCCCGGTCACTGAGCTCTTTCTTCTGTCTCTGCCGCCACCCAGGCCCTGATGGCTGCAATATCTTCATCTACCACCTGCCCCAGGAGTTCACTGACTCAGAGATCCTCCAGATGTTTGTCCCCTTTGGCCATGTCATCTCAGCCAAAGTCTTTGTTGACCGGGCCACCAATCAGAGCAAATGTTTTGGTAAGAATATGATATGGCACATTTTTTGCCATATTCCAAATCAGGACAAGGTCTAATATATTTGAAGGCATTTATGGTCACAGTGGACCCAGTATTTGAAATGCTGATTATCCAAGAGTACAAAAGAACCATTTTGACACACCCAACATGCCACACCCAGCTGCTGCCCAGGCCCATCTCTTCTTCTTCAGCTTTTCTCTTAAAAACTGGCCAAATTCATGCCTCATGAGGTCTGAAACAGGCTCATGGTCTGGGGATGTTTGGTTTGCAAAAGGCAGGCTTAGGGAGTCGGTTTTAGCTGCCTTCACATCTTTGAAAGGCTGCCTCAGGGGAAAAAGGGAATGTTCTTCTCTGCTTCAGATGCCATTTAGGGCCTGGAAGTGGCCATTTTCAAAGGGCAGGCTCAGAGTTATCCAGGCAGAGGAAGGGGTCCCTGCACAGAATGCTGGGAACAACGTGGTAATTTTAGTGGCTGGACTGGATTCCTCCATTCAACCCATCAATCAACAAATTCCTACGGAATGCTGCTAGGTGTCAGGCAGCTTTCTAGGCATTTCGGACACCTGGGAGACACAGGGTAGTGCTGGAGGTCTCCTAAGCACAGGAGAGCGAGGTGGGGCTGGGCCGGGCCTTATGCCCCTCTCACCCCAGGCTTTGTGAGTTTCGACAATCCGGCCAGTGCCCAGGCTGCCATCCAGGCCATGAATGGCTTCCAGATCGGCATGAAGCGCCTCAAAGTCCAGCTAAAGCGGCCTAAGGATGCCAACCGGCCCTACTGAGGGCCCCCAGGTGGGTCCCGCTCCTGTGTTGTGGCCTCCCTCCTCAGCTCTACACACTGCAGCCAGGGCCCTCGATTGGACTGCCCCCCACCCCTGTCCTCCACCACCCTCAGGGATGCCCACCCCACCCTTGATCCTGAGCACTTGAAGCAGGGGACTGGGGCAGCTCCCTCAGCTGTTTTTCAATAATCTGAGTCACTCTCTCTCTCTCTCTCTCACACACACACACTCTGTGACCCCAGAAAGAGCCAAGTCTTTGTATATATCTGTGTCCACTCCCTGGACCTTCCACAATATCCGGTCTCGTTTGTCTGGTCAGTGTCCATGTCTGTGTGTGTCTCTTTCTGGTTTTCCTTCGGGTTGGAGTGGAATTAGGGGAATAGGACTGGAGGATTAAGGGGTTGGCTGAGGGTGCCAGAGGGCCCTAGAATCCTTGGCTCCTAGAATCTCTGTTGTCCTGAGAAGTGAGGACATCAGCCCTGGTTGCCCTGGACTTCAGGTGATTTTTCCCACGTAGCAGCAGACCCATGGGGCAGCAGAGTGCACAGGACAGACTGGGGGAGCCCATTTCCTGGCCTCTTGGGAGTTGCTCTGGTTTAGGTGGAAGAGGTTGAAATGCGCTGCCTGTGAAGTTTACTTATCAGGTCCCCTCCACCCCCATTGCTGGCCACCACCTCAACCTCATGGCCACAGAGCTGTAAGCCTTGGTTACTTTCACATTGTTTAATCTCCTTTGGACCAAACCCTTGAGAAAACACAACCCAAGAAAAATACCCACATTTTCTGTTTCTCCCCTTTCCCCCCAATCCTGGCTGCTTAACTCCCCCTACCCTGGGGGCCCCCCCAGCCCAGGGCCCGTGTCCATTGTCGGCCGAAGCCCCCATCCCCGGACCCCTGCTCCGGGCCCCTGTAAGTTGCATGGAACGAGCGTGTTGTCTTTGGAGCCGATTGTTTGTTATTTGGGGAGGGGCCGCGGAGGGAAGCACCCCCAAGCCCAAGGTCAGGGCCGGGGGCAGCTCGCGGGACGTGCTTGGTCTACAGTGGTTGGTGACTGTGGTCTGTGTTTGTGCATTTCTCTCTTGCTTTCTGTGTTCCTTTCCAAAAAGGAATGAGAGCACTACCCAGGGGCCGGGGGTGGTCTCACCCCATGAGTCTCCATCCCTGAGCTGTGACCTGGGCTCTGCCCTGGCCTTCTCTGTGGATGTTCCCTTTCTTTTTTCCAGGTGTCTGTCTCTTACATGCACTCCCTTCTCTGTCTCTCTCTCCATTTCTCTGCCTGCCTGTCTGTTGTCATCTCTTTGCCTCTCTCCCCCTCCAGTCTTTATTTTTCTCATGGGCTGTTTGACTATTTCCTTCCTAATATCCTCTGGTTTCCTGTATGGTTCGCCCCCTCCCTCCTGTCTCCTCTATCCCTGCTCTCATGGCTGGCGGGTGGGGGCAGATGGGTCCGTTTGGACTGAGGCCTGATGATCTGCCTTCCTCGGGCAGCCCCATCCTAGATGCTGTCACTCACCCCAGCCCCCTCCCCTCCCCCAGAGCCCATGACCCGCATCATGGGCTCTTCCCCATGCTTCACCCATGTTTCTTCCTTCACAGGTCTGGAGATACCAGAGGAAGGGGCGCCTCACACCCTCTTCCCACGACTGGCCCCGGCCCTCTCCGCACACCTGCCCTGGGCCTTGACTGGGTTCTGGGGCAAACGCTGCTTCGTGGTCCCTGGGGGGCACAAGACACCGGCCCCTCCCACCCCCTGCCTCTCTGAAGGGCCGTGGCTATGCTTCCCTGCCTCCAAGGGCCCATTTCCTCCTAGATGCCCTTTTGGCCTTTGTGAGGGAGCGAGGAACAGGCTCGAAGGTTCCGGGGTATCTGCCTTCTGCTGGGCTCCTGTGACGGGCCTTCTGTGCCCAGCGTTTGTACTTGCCTCCCCCACCAGTGGGCCTGTTGTATCTGTGCAGGCCCCAGGAGAGCTGCAGGGGCCTGCCATACACTCCCAGCCCACCCTCACCCCAGCCTCTTCCCCACATTAGGGGTTTCTTGGAAGCTGGCTCTCACTCCCCTCCACCCTCTAGCTAGAGGTAGGATATCCCTGACTCGTGGGCTCCCAGCCCTAAAACTCACTGCCTCCCCCAAGGGCCCCCTCTTAGGAGAGTGTGGGGGAGCCCTGAGGGCTGCCTCTCTGCCAGTCAGCCACAGAGACCCTCCTCCTTTCACGAGGAAAAGACCTTCCCCTGAATCCCTAAAAATGTTTACAGTCTCTGCTGGTTCCCTCCGTGTAAATACCACTACCACCCGTGCGTTATCCAGCCCGCCCGGCCTGGCCCGGACGCTGCCATCTCTCTTTCTGGGAGTTTAGACAATGTTGCCCTTGGATTTTTTTCTCTCTCTTAATTTCTCCCTTTGCTTTGGGGGGTAATTGGATATTGGGAGGAGGGGTGTGGGGAGGGGTAAAGGGGTTTATTACCTGATCATTTTCTTTAGGAAGGTTTTAGGGAAAAGAAAATGGGGTGGGGGTGGGAGTGGTAAGGGGAGACCGGGGAGTCAGTTTCAGACAGTTCTCTATGCTTAACTTATTTATTTATTGCATTTTACTTTTAAAGAGTTGGTCTTTTCTGTCTAAATAAAGAAAAAAGTTTAAAAGCATCAAATAAGAGTCTTGGAAGGTTGAGGGTAGGGGACTGTTCCCTGCCCACACTGGGAAGGGGGAGGGAGGTAGAGAATGAGGTTTGAGAGAGAAAATCCCATCAGGGAAGGCCAGGCCCTTGCTTCGGAGCAGCATCCAGGCCTTGTTCATGGCTTCATGATCCTATCCCTTAGCCCTTCTTTGGGGCTTAATTCTGGAATGTCCTGTAGACTTGGGCACAAGGAGATCTCCCCTGTCCAGGGCTCTCCTCTGTATCCAGCCCTGTCCCTCTGAAGGCTGAGGACTTGCAGTCTCACATCTGGACCTTCATTTCTGCACAGAGGCCAGTGTGGATACTAGGAGCCAGTTGTGACACCACCATTTACTAACCACTGCTCCGTATGTCATTCTGTTCCTAGCCCTTATTGTGCATTTCCTCATTTTATCTCCTAACAACCTTGTGAGGCAGGATATAGTTTATTTATTTTACTTATTTATTTTGCGACAGGGTCTTGCTCTGTCACTCAGGCTGGAGTGTGATGGTGAGATCATAGCTCACTGCAGCCTCGAACTCCTGGTTCAGGGGATCCTCCTGCCTCAGCCTCCCAAGTAGTTAGGACTATAAGCATGCATCACTACGCCCAGCTCATTTTTAAAAACTTTTTTTTTTTTTTTTTTTTTTTTGTAGACAGGGTCTTGCTATGTTGCCCAGACTGGTCTTGAACCCCTGGGCTCAAGCAAGCCTCCTGCCTTAGCCTCCCAAAGTGCTCAGATTACAGGCATGAGCCACCACGCCCAGCCTAGGTAGGATATAATTTTACAGACGGGAAAAGGAGGCTTGGAAGGTTAACTAACTTCCCCAGAGTCACAAAGCCAGTAAGACATGGCTGTAGGAGTTGAACCCAATTTGTCAGACTCCAAAGCCCATGATGTTCTCTTACCTGTTCTTTGACCTGAGGCAAAGATCCCAAGAAGTAGCAAGCAGGCTTAGGAGTGAGTCCTTCAGGTAGAGGGTGGACTACATAAGCCCTAAGTCCCTCCACTTCCCAGATTCTTCTCTGTGAGCTGCTTTAGGGCAGGCTCGGGATCACACAGGTGTCTTCTTTGACTTCATAGCACATGTGCTTCTAGGCTGCTAGCCCACCCTCAATATGTCCCTTCTTATAAACTTGCTCAACTTCCAGCTCTGATCTGGCCTCAGGTCAGAGCTCTGTGAAGGCACAACAGTAAATCCCAACTCATCCCCAGATCACTGCCCTGTACCTCTGCTACTCTTCATTGACCTCAAACTAAGAATAGTTAAAAAGAGAAGCAAAATGTGAAGTGCTATGCAGATATATATGTGGACGTTGTTTTGGGAGAAAAAAGTATCTCTTGGATTGGTAAAGATCAGACATGGGACCTAACAAAGGAGAAGAATCCAGCCAGTATTCCTAGCCAAGTAGACAGCGCCTGAAATCTCAACGACGCAGAGCTGTGTGTGTGGGTGTGCTCAGAGATGAGAAAAAGCCTGTGCAGCAAGGGGGACAGGAGTCGGCATTTAATATCTACAAATTTCCCCATGAGCTGCCTCAACTTCAGGGCAGTTTCTAAGTCAGGATGGAAAGACAGAAGGTGGGTTTTAGACCAAAGGGCATCTCCCAGAGTGATTCACTGACTCGGGTTTCTCTCCTGGGGGGTGAGGGTGGCAACAGGACTGAGAAGCTGCCTCCTTCTTGGCCTCTTCCCAGACGTCGGTGTGGCAGCCCCTGCTGCAACATCAGTGGCTACCTTTATTGTCTGTTTCTTCTTCTAAAATAATCAAGTTATGTTCAAATGTTAATGGCAGCATAAAGGGAAGAGAAGGAAAATAACTTCTTGAGCCAGAAGAGTGGAGCTGACATGTTAATATCAGGGATAGAGTGGAGACTTTCAGTTATAGAAATGAAAGCAGACCTTTAGAAACATATCCTCAGTTAGGGAGATTAAGGTGATGGGACAATGGCTAGGGAAAAAAATAGCCCTAAATAATTACTTCCCATTCGCTTTCCATATTTTTAAAGCTTTGGAAAGCATAAACGTAATGCAAAGTGTCTCTATTTCCTCAGGTTGGACTCTGCTGGCCTGAGAGCCAGGCCCTCTGACTTTCAGTGTTTCCTTTGTCTTTTAATTCTCCCGCTAAAATTTCAAAGCCTTTCACAGCCTTGGCTTCAGGTATTTGTGACTGAAGCAATTCCCATTCATGGCCAAGCCTCATTCTCTTCTCCAAATCTGGTAACTTGAACAGCCCTGATCCAAGCCCCTGGTTCTAATAAGACCCTTGTTCTCTGGCCCCTCTTTCAGTCTATTTCACAGAGCAGTCAGCTTCTTCTTGCTCCTCATAAACTTGGTTTCCTTCCTATATATTGCATCCTCTCATCTGCCTGATGAAAACCAAGTCTCAGTGACATGTTTCTAGCCTAATTTTTGTCCTGAACTCCATTTTGGTATTACCTTTTCTCCCTCAGTCTTCATCATTAGTAAGCAGCACCACTAGGTACTCACTCAAGCCAAAACTTGGATTACACCCTCTCTCTCATGTCTCCTCCCCAATCCAACTGCAAAGCCCTAAGTCTACCTCTAAAGTATTCAGCTGATTTACTTACTCATGTCTCTGCATCTCCACAGCCACCAGCACTGTCCACGTCACATTGCTCTCATCTGTCTCCATGCTGCTTCTCCTCTCTCCTACAATTTGTTCTCCCAAGAAGCCAAGAGTCATTGTCATCTTTTAAAAGTTAATTCACCAACATTTACTACCTACTCTGCTTTGTCCAGCACTGTATCCTCGTCACCCTAAACAGTGCCCCAAACATTAGACATTGCTTAGTAAATAAGAAATGACCGTTGGACATCTATACTGGATTTCCCATCCGTATCTAAATCATCACAGGGCCAATGCTAAAACTTTCTCCCATAAAGTCCCAACTCATATATTTCTGTTTTCTGGTCACGTAGACATAAAACCTCAAGAGTTTTTAGTACTTTCACATAAGTTCGATGGTATTAAATCATTAAAGATTTTACTTCCACAAACTTTCTCATATCATTTCCCTCTTTTTCAATTATCATTGCCTATACTTATTAACTGAGTAATCACAGCAATTTTCTAATTGGTCCTTCTGTCTATGTTCTGAAGCATCAATCTTTCTAAATTGCAGCTAATAAAAAACAAAACTTCTCTGATTTTTTTTTCCACAGAATACCTCAGTCTGGCATTCAAGGCTCTTCAAAGCCTTACTTTCCACTTCGTTCCTACACATACCCCAATGGAACTATTCATTGTTCTCTGGGCAAGTTCGGCCCCTTTTCTCCCATGTCTTTTCATTCCCAGTTACTACAGTGTCTGGCACATAAGGGCTCAATAAATGTTTGTTGAATGCCTTCTTGTTGAAATGCTTCTCACACTACAACAGTTCATCTTAAACACTACTTTCTTCATGAAAATCCTAACGGCCCTCATCCACAGGTCTTTCCCCTTCCTTTTCTGGTCCTTATGGCACTTAAACCTTTCACTGCTATGTATCATGGCCATGCGCAAGCGTCTCACTCTTCTGTGAGCCTGTGAGCTGGCAGAAATGTTTCTTTGCTTTTGTGTCTGTTGCGGTATCTCAATCTCCCCACCCCACCCCCAACAGCAGATACGTAATAAAAGTTTGGCTTTAACCACTGTAACTCTAATTCTAGAATTCCACTTTGTTCTTCTTTATGGATTCTTTGCTTAGGAAAGATAACATTTCCCCCTCCATTAGCATAGTGGTGTTTCTTAGGTTTTAAATATCCAAAGCCAATGGGTGGGTGAGTGTATGAGCCCCTGAACAATGTCTCTTCCCAAACTGCCAAACAAAATGTCACAATGGTCCTTGGTCTTATGGTCATCAGTTAGGGAACCAAAGCATGTGGTCAGAAGTTGTAAAAATAATAATAAATGAAGCTTTATAAAAAAATTAAAACGTCTCACCCACTACAAATGCTGAGCTTTTCAGACCAGAGTCAGCTCATAAACAAATGTACAGAGAGGAACAGGTACTCTTGAGAGCAGGTAATTAGGCCCCAGCACCTCAGATGCCTCTGTAAAAGCAAAAGGCAGTAGGACCACCCTTCTTCTCAGGAGTGTGGGAGCAGGGGAGAGTAAGGCCACCCACAGGGCCTAGTTTTGCGCTGGCCATTCAACAGTCATAATGTGTTCCTTTCAGTCCAGATTCCAAAGAGAAAAACTTTCCCGATTTACCTGAAAAAGTATATACATGTTGCTGGGGGTGGGGAGGAGGGGCCATTGCTAAGATCTGTACCAAAAGCTCTGCCAGGCTCTATCTGCATGGCTGAGAAAGGAATCCTGTGAATCTTCAAAGGATTTTTGTGCAAGCTTGCAGATGGGAGGGGTAAGCTCAGTCACCTCTGAGATCTGAAGGAGAAGAAGGAATTTTCAAAGGAGCCACTGGGAAGAGAACTGCAAACAAAGGGGCTTTCGTGGCTTCTTTCCTCACCCTTCTCCATTCCCTGCCCTCAAAAAACTGTCCCACTAGTTACCTGGGAAAACTGGTTAGATGTTTCTTCTTTTTAGACTGACTACTCTAACTCAAATCTCAAAGGTCCCTCTTCACTTCCTCCCACACAACCCAAAGGATTTGTAGTCTAGGAAACCAAAGAAGTGTTTGATCAATAAATCAATTTATTTAAAAGAATATGTTACAATTAATTACACTAAGTGACATTACCAAACAATTTTAGAGTGGTTAGCTCTAGAACAAGGAATGAAAGAAACACTGTTAGCCATTATTGTGTCTGTGTATTTTCTCTTCACATTTCTTAAATCACAAATAAAAAATACAAGATACTGCAGTGAAAATACAATTAGAGTTTCTCTGAAATAAATTAAATGTGCATGGCCTGGGAAAAACTGAAGCCCAGCTCACTGGCTTAAAAGGGGGTCATGATATAAAATTAATGTCCAAGTTTAGCAGGTGGCCAAGTGCCTCCACCCCATATCACTCCCCTCTTT